CGTGAGAGAATCACATGAATATTTCCAAGATCGGATTCCACTGACTGCAGCAACACCGCAGTTTTGCCAAAAAAGGTGTTTTGTCCAGTGTACTGCACCGTTCCATCCACCTCACCGCGCACAACGTTTGAGCCCATTTTGGGCATGTGGTCCGTTCCCATCGTCACGGGAAGCGACTCACCCGTCAGCGCCGCCTCGTCCACGTCAATCACACCCTCGTTGATGCTGCAATCGGCAGGCACCGCGGAGCCGGATGCGAGCTTCACAAGATCACCGGGTACCAGCAGCGCGGCATCCAGCTGCTGCCATGTTCCGTCACGGTGGACGGTCGCCACGGGCTTCAGTGAGTTCTTCAGCGCAGCCACAGCGTCGCCTGCCTTGATTGTCTCATACCACCCAATTGTGGCATTGGCAAGCTGAATAGCAAGAAGAATGGCACCGTCAGGCCAGTTCTCCAGCGCAAACTCAATGATGATGGCGACCCACAGCGCAAAAGGCATAGGACCCCATAGGTTACGCACAAATATCAGCCAACTGGGCGTTTTCTTCTCCGGGAGCTCGTTGCGTCCGTATTTGGCAAGGAGCTCTTCCGCTTCGGCCGTCGTCAGACCCTTGGACGGCGGTAGCATTGGCACTTCATCGACGTCGTCCTCCTTGTGCTCACTAATGGCCTTGGAGAGAACGGACTGACGCTTTTGCGGCTTTTGTGGGGGATGTTGTTCGTTGAAGTTACCATTATTGCTGTTGTTCAGCACGGACTTATCGTTCTTCTGGTTCATGGCTGCTTTCCTATTTCTGTTGCGCTAAAAAGGCTTACTACTATCAGTAAAATGCAATTTAAAAAATATTTTATGTTTTGTAAGCAGAGTTTTTGTAATTTTTTCGTTTAGGTAACCAGATGGACCGTTTATTGAAAATATAAGAATTATGAAGAATATGTGAATATATTATTCCGTTTCAAAAGACCCATGAAGGCTACCACATATATTTATAGCACGTTTCTGGTACTATTTACCCGTGTTTCTTCCAAAGAAAGAATGCTTTGCTGCCCATATGATCCCTTCTTCTTCCTTAACATCCACCTGTTGAGGATGTCGACGCAAAAAGAGATAGAGATTTTCTTGAATGCTTTTTTTTTTTAAAACGGATTCTGCCTCATGAGATAATGAAGCGAGTGCCTGCTGCCGTGCGATCGTGAGACCGTGATCGATAAGCTGCAGAATGCCATCGCTCTGGTGGGTAATTATTTCCTCACGTAGCTGATCGGAAGATAGTTTGTTTGGTATGATATCCTGTTTTAAGTTGACAAAAGTGGTAGGCAGTGTGCTGTGCAAGTACTGTACCACCGCATGCTGAATATCATCAAGTTCGGCTGCGGCGCAGTATTTTCGCACTTTTTTCCCTTCCTTGTCAACCCAGCACATACGACCAAATTGACGAAGCCATGGCTCAACTCCCCCATACTCACGAGAAACGTCCTGTACACTGTTCTGTGCTGATAATGGCAATTTTTGAAGGAGTCGGTCGATAGAAAGCCAAATAGGCTTGAGGTGTTGCTCGATCGCTGCAGCCTCACGAGAGTCCTCAGACCCCAGCTCCCCTGCACACCCGGGAGCCAACCAGTACGGTCGAAGTCGCCACAAGAGCATCTCATCTTGTTGCCCGGAACAATTCTGTGTCAATAAATAATGATGATTGGAGTTTTTTTCAGTAAAGGAAGTGAGAGTCGAAATCGAAACACCGGCGTTTTGAGCCCACTCGGAGATGCCAACGTAACGGTCATGTCGGAGCGCCTTAAGAAGCGAAAAGCATTCCGAATTGGAACACATAACTGTAGATGTGGTATGTGTTTTAGAACTAAGAGGAAGCCCCCCTTTCTTTCGTGTTGCAGATAAATCCATTTTTGTGCGAATAGGCGTATTTAAAACAGGAAATGCACGAGTGACGCTGGTTTCCTTAAGTTTTCGTTGGGTAAGACCTGTCGATGATGCGCCATTTGTTACAGCATCATAAAGAACGTTGGCTGCTCCAAGACGTTCATGTTGAAGCGTTGGCTTTAAACGTACAGTATCTGATTCTTTATTTCTATCAAAATAGTAGGAGTAAATTTTAATCACCTTGTGAAGAGTATTCCTCGGACCGAGAACTCTCGCGAGAGCGTCTGTCACTTTTATCTGTTGTACAGGAACGTGGGTGGTGGGGACGCACTCAACAAATAGATCCAACATCTCGCTGGGCGAACGTCGCCCACGCAACAAGGCCATTGTTGTATGCGCCTTTAGTAGTTCCTCGGATGACATGCGTGCTTTTGAAGAGGAAAGATCCTTTCTTTTTGAAGGCAATGGTGGGGGTGTCCGGTGTTTTTCCATTCGCTCCGGTACTTTTGAAGAAGCAGAAGACATAGATGATTTATTCTTTGTCTGCTGCTGGTGCTGTATGGTGCTGGGGACAGCTGCTGTGGCAACGCTAACACTTTGAATAAACCCGTCTTTTGGCTCAACATCATCGGAACCGTCATCGTCAGCCGTTAAAACATCATCATCATCATTGTCCAAGTTAAGCTCAACGTTCCAAGCGTCATCTGCGTAATCCGCTACAGGTATTACTGACACAACGCTTTTGTGAACTGCCTCTTTCGAAAGGCAATGATATGTTGTTATTCCTTGTGAAGAAAGAATTCCCTTTACGGATACAAAAGATGTGTCCTCGCTAAGGTCCAAATATTCCTGAGCTAGCGTATTCTTCAAAAGACGTAATAGCCCACCTCCCAACTCTCGAATAGAGTCTTGAAGCTCCATTGGGAATGTTTGTAGCAATCCGGTCGTAGAAATTGGCTTGTCTTTGGGTAACATGTCCTGCAGCTGTTGTAGAACGAGGCTCAATTTTTTCTCAGAGAAGTTTGTTTCTGCAGAGTGAAGTCTAACTCGCACTTGTGTCTGAACCATTTTCTTCTCATTTTCACCACCACATTCTCCTTTTTTCGTTGCCTCTTCTACCGATATGGATGGCGGCGAGCTTCTTGCAGCCTGCACACGACTCACATACCAACGGAGACTTCCGTCTTCTTCCTCAACCTGGTAGGACCGGAACCGATGAGGAAACAACTGCACAAAAGCAAGGACAGATCCAAAAAGCTCACTTACGGCCTCCACGTCTAGGAGAGGTGTGATTGTGGTGAGTCGAGTTCCCGTGCCGTCAGAAGGGAGAAGCTCCAGAATGTTGTTCACAAGCCTCATTGTTGAAGAAAGAGGGGGTTGATTGACATTGTGGGTTGCCTCAGTTTCAATCACGCCCCCATCGTGGCTCTCCTTTTCGAGCGTTTCTGACGGCGCGGAATGAAGCAGCAGCTCCTCATAATCTTCCAGCGTCACCTCATCCTCCTCAACGGTATCATCTACAACGTCCGGCTCCATTCTTGCGTGAATCCATCGGCAGAATGGGCCCAAAGAGGGAAACCGGAAGGCCGCACTCACAAGCACCGATGGGCTCACTGACAGAGGAGATGCCCTTCCGCGCCGTGCAGCAGAAATTCTACGGCCTAAAGTATTCCTCTTCGGCCCTACTCCGCCACACATGCCTCCAGCACGACGCAGCATCCTTGTGATAAGAGGGGCGAGAAAGACAGCCGCAAGCTCACCATTCTTGCATGTTTGATAAACAACAACAACAGAAAACAAAAACAAAAACAAAAAAAAAAAAACCTTTGTTTCATAAGTTTGAGCAAAATCCGACAGCTCCTTTTTGTTTGTTTGTTTGTTTCTTTTTCGTTAGCCTTTTATTATTATTATTATTATTATTCCTGCCCCAGAAACAAGCAGCTGTGTGTGTAAAAGTGATAACAGGCGCCACCCCGCACCGTCAATGAGCAAGGAGGTTTCACTAATAAAAACAATGACAAGCAGAAAAAAGCACAGCTGTGAGTACTTGGGATTATATGAACAACGCACGACCGCCGGTGACCAAAATTACTAAGGAGCAGCAGTCACATTCACAGCGTTTGTTCACTCCTTGCGTCCCGACCTCACGTTCCGTGATGAACAACTCGAACACACCGCCGCAACGACATTCCAGCTTGTACACCCGCATCCTTAAAACGCCACCATCCTTCATGGTAGTATCGTACACAACTTTCTCCTCTGCAAGAAAGAATTCACTCAATTCATGCGTGTCGCTCACCGCGCCGACAGACCGCACGTAGGCCTGTTCTCGCCCGTGGTCATATTGAGCACGACGCAGAGGATCAAGCAACAACTCGGATGCCTCCTTTACGACATGGAACGGGTAACCTTCAAGCATCGCCCCCAACTCCTCCTCATTCGTACTGCCGTTTTTCCGTTTGTCGGGATGAGTGCAGAGTGCTAGTCGCTTAAATGCCGCACGAATTTCCGCAACCGAGGAGGAACTCGAAACGCCAAGTACGTCATATGGAGAAATTGCATTTTCCATCTTTTTAAAGGTCCAAATAAGTTCAATCACACCAACATAAACAAAAAAGAAAAAAGAAAAAAGAAAAATTCCGTAAAATGATACCAGCGTTATGGTCACTCGGTAGTTGGCGCCGTTCGATGCCCCTCCCCCCCCTCTCCCCCCACACACACACACACAGGGAAAAAATAGCACACCGAAGTGAATCAAACAGCAGAGATAACCCCCTGCAAGGAAAAAAATAAACATTTGTTTCTCTCGTTTTTTCGGTGCGTCTGTTTGTGTTTCTGTCGGAGATCCGTGACCAGTACCCACATCCTTTGTTTTGAAATGTCATCCATAATTTTTTCAAACGTAAATAACACATGACACACACGAGAGTAACAGAGACAGAAGTACGCATCAGTTCAATCGAGGGTACTCCGCACGGCCCAGTTACTCGGAATACTCGCACACAGAGATACATTCATAAATGCATTCATTTACCTCTGGCCACTCACTACTTCTCTCTCTCTCTCTCTCTTCCTGCACTACAGCAAATAATTGCCAGTTTAAAGAAGAAGAAAAACGGCGCATACACACTATCCACTCTCCCTCGTTCTATCATACACTCAAACACACACGAATATGTCTACATCTGTATGCTTATGCCATTTGGAGAGAAAGAATATATATATATATTTCGGTCCGCACCACCCCAGATGTAATCTGTAGATACTCTGATAATTTAGGAATTCATACAATATCTCAAATGATGTTTTGCCTCATCATTTTGTTTTCCTTCGTTCGCAAAACGAAACAAAAGCAATAATAATAATAATAATAAAACCTCGCCCATAATGCACAACACCAAATCCCACTAGCTTGTCGCAACGGCGTACGCCTGCTCAGAGGCATCCAGTTCGTCAGCAACAGCGTTATTTTCATCGGCATCGCCCAAATACAGTTTTCCCACCGGGCACAGTTGCGAAACCGGCATATTGTTGTCCGTTTTCACTTCCAATTCGTCCAGGAAGGTGCTGATCTCACTGAGCCCACCACGACCGATCATTCCCAGGTTAAAATCTTGCGCGTGCTCGTTAAGAAATCGCACACATCGCGTACAATGAATGCAGCGGTTGAGTACCACACGCGTCTGAGGGTCAAAGTAGAAATCCTGGACGGCACGTTTATCCTCTTTGTATCGAGGAATGTCAGTACCGTAGTTCATGCTGATATTCTGAAGATCACAATTTGTTGCTTGCTCACAGATGGGGCAGTCGTTGGGATGGTTGATAAGAATAAGTTCCACATTGCCCTCCCGGGCATCCCGAACCAATCGACTGTCCGTAATAATCGACATGCCTGGAAGCGCTACCGTGGCACAAGAGACAACAAGATTTTGAGTTCCATCGACCTGCACCAGACACATTCGACAATTGCCCGCTACGGAGAGAATAGGGTGATAACAAAACTTGGGGACGCGAATTCCCTCACGCTCCAGTACTTCCAACAAATTTTCCTCTTGAGGAATAATCTCGACTGGACGTTTATTCACAAACATAATGGCACGAGGTTTGTGTTCTGCATATTGGCCCGCAGCGACACCCTCCACAATTGCCTCCACCCCGCCTCTATGAACGTACTCGCTCCCATGCAATGTGTCCGTCATATCACTATTGTACGGTGTTCCGTCAGATTTGAAAAAACGCCGGGCCATCAAAAGCGGAGGCGCGGCATACCACAAGGGAAAACGTGCTGCTAGCCGCTTCATCCCCGCCTTCTCGCCAACGTCCAAAATCTCCTCCAAAACCAGCAATAAAGATCTGCAATCGCTATAAATATCCGTATTGAACTACAAACCAACAGATACACAAAAACACATGCACAAAAAGAAAAGAAAAAAAAAAAAAAGATCCCAATAAAAGACACAGCGACCAAATCTACACGCAAAAAAACATATATATATTTCTAATAATAAATAAATAAATAAATAAATAAATAATATGCCACGTTATGCAGAAACAGAGGAAAACGTGACTAAAACACCATCATCGTCTTCGTCATTGGGCCACAAAAATAACACGGACAACACAAAAGTCTGTCTGTTTATTTAAGTGGTCAAAAAAACTGAACGGGGAAGGGGAAAAAACAACAAAAATAACGACAACACGCATGAAAAAAGAAAAAAAAAAAAAAAAAAATGAAAAAAAAAAGTGAAAAAGAAAGTATTTATTGCAAACTCAATCTTCTAGCTCTGAGTAAAAAAAAAAAAAAAAAAAGACAGCACATAGCCTTAACATCTTCTCCATAGCGTCGACGAGCATCCGGCCTTTTTCTCTTCTTTTGCCATTAAAGTACATGTCTATTTGTGTGTAAGCATCGTTTCTGAAGAAACACATCGGAACGGGGGGAAGAAAAAAAAGAAAGGACAAAAAAAACCCAAAAGAGTATTCCATGGCAAT